GGAGGGTGAAAAAGTATCTTTTCTACTCAATCGTTATTAGCTTAGTACAAAACAATTGAATAAGCCAAGTGTGATCAAAATATATCGCTAAACAACCAAACTACAATAATTTACAATATTCTCCATAAGAATAACATGGGAAATTTAAATTTACAATTTTTTGAACTTTCTTTGTTGCCAATAACCGTACAAAAACACTTTGATATATTAAGTTATTTGTTTTTTTAAGCTCATTAAAATGGTTTAGAGAGAAATTGGTAAATTTTTGTTTTGAGGGTCAAAAATGAGAAAAACCATTTTTTACCCCAAAACCCCTTATGAAACTCTATTTCCATGGGCTGATCATAGGGAGGGTGCTAAAGTGTATTTTCTACTCAATCGCTATTAGCTTAGTACAAAACACCCATGTAGCACAGATGGTTGGGCCAACGTTGGCCAACTGTAGGACAGTTGGTCGATGGTTGGTTGGAGCTTCCACAACCAACCAACCGTTGTCCAACTGTATATCTCGTAGTTGGGCCAACCAATATTTACAACTGTGGACCAACATTGGTTCATTGTTAAAGAAATACATTAATATGCATTGCTGGGTATCATACATCAAGCCAACCGTTGTCCAACCGTTTTTCACTCCGTTGGACCAACAAAAAATACTTTTGTTGGACCAACGATGGTCCATAGTTGAGTTTACACGACTTTCATTCTCTGGATCTAGCTTTCACAACATCTATCTATCTATATATATAATACGTGAAGCCGTTTTTTGTTAACGCAACTCCTCCCTTATTTGTGGACAAATTTCAACGTTTAAGGTGTCAAAAGATTCGTCTCAATATGTAGTTTTGCAATAAGGTTTTAGACTTGTGAAATTCTTACTCTTAAGGGTGTGAGATCCTCTGAAAGGTTGGAGGTTTCCCCATAAGAAATACATAGAACAAATTTAAAAACAAAAAAACAGCTGGTTATAAAAAGAAACTCATTAGCTTTTTGGGAGTAAACATTAATGTTTGTAGTATTCAGTAGGTTAAGACCAATTAAACAGTTGTTGGAAGAACAGAAAATGCCTCAAGTTCAAAGAAGAATTATTGTAAATGGGAGGATGAGACAATTAATAATAAGATATCTTATGCGTATGAGGAGAGTAGAAAAAGAGAGGCCTGGTCTAACAGATACCCATCCAGATACACATTCACTTGGTGAGATCGAGATATTTCAAAACATTTATTAGAAACTATAATAATGCCTTGACTATCATAAGTTCAAGTAGTAATATCATACCAAATCTTGGCGGACCTTATGTTTTTACTGTTGACTTTTGTATTACTCGCTCTACTTCAATTGAGAAAAACGCAAATGGATTACGTAAATCGGATATACAAACGTGATTTAATCGTGTTGCCGTTTGCGCTGATTTACTGGTTCTAAGAAATCTACATCAAAATGCAGGGTGTACGATGCACCACATTAATCATAAAGAGTTATCCAACCTATTTCGACAAATGAATCCATACTTTCAAAACTTTTGGACAGGTATTATGAGAAACTCCACTGAACAACGTGAGAACATTCTGATGCGGGGCATATACTGTGACTGACAGACAACACGTTAAAATACGTTAAACAACTTTCAATGGTATTGCTGCCTTAGCCTATTCAAAGCAGATTATGACTGTCCAGCTGGTAACCCGGAGTTAGTGGGTTAAAAATGGAGCACATGAATTTGTTGATACTGTATCACCCCACTTTACAGGATTCTCTACGGAGAAAATTTGTTTTATTAGGGGGATGTCTCAAATCAAAGAAATAAAATAACCCAAACACAGGTTATCATTAAGGCAACAGTTTTCTTCAATTCTCAATGCTGGAAAAACTTTGTAGCATCATGTTAACTTGAATTGAAGCAGATCGTTCAGCATTCATTAGAAGTTAGTTATCAGTTAAAACTGAGAGCAGAAATAATGTAGGTGAAACTTGACGACGCAAATACAGATACCTATTTAAAATTAGTTTCAAACAAGTGTTTAAACTACTCTAAAATGTAACTATAATTACTCGAATTTAAGCATAACGTTTTCCTCGGCGTTACGTTTCATACTATGCGGCTCATTGAGCCGCACGGGTTCTCTAGTAATTATAATAATGCAAATATTTTTTAACTAATATTCTTTAACTTATTTGCAACAATTTAAGGGGAAAGAGTAATTAATCATATAACAGTCAATTATAATAGCATCAATAATCTAACGGTAATTAAATAATCTATATTCAAATACCAGTATCCTCTCTAACTTCCCCCCCAAAAAATAATAACTACCTACTTATGATGCCTTAACAGATTAACAGAATCATATTATACTGTGTAGTATCAAAATTGTTTTAAGTATTGCGGCCATTGCAACTGTCGGCTACTCTTACACCACTTGAAAACTCTCAATATCAACAATCACAGATAGCTCAGTGGTAAGGTAAGAGGCTCTTAAGTCGAAGGACCCGGGTTCGAGACCCGTCTGGGCCAAAAAATTTTGTTCTAGCTTTTTTTCAAAATTTGTTTTTATGAACTATTTAATCAATTTACTCAACTAATAATTATGCTTTTCATACTAAATCTTTATTATTTTGTGTTAAATAAAACGGTTGGTTGTATATCAGTTGTGTTATGGTTAGTTGGCCATCAGTATTTTTGGATGGTTGGGCCATTGTTGGACAATGGTTGGTTGGAAAACAGTTTAAAGAGGTGACATTTCTACCGTTGGCCAACTGTGTGGCTCCACAATTTACCAACGTTGGCCCAACCATCTGTGCTACATGGGCAATTGAATAAGCCAAGCGTGATCAAAATATATCGCTTAACAACCAAACTACAACAATTTCCAATATTCTCCATTAGAATAACATGGGAAATTTAAATTTACTATTTTTTGAACTTTCTCCGTTACTAATAACCGTACAAAAACACTTTGATATACAAAGTTATTTGTTTTTTTAAGCTCTTTAAAATGGTTTAGAGAGAAATTGGAAAATTTTGTGTTTTAAGGGTCAAAAATGAGAAAAACCGGTTTTTACCCTATAAAACCCCCTGTAAAACCCTGTTCCCATAGTCCGATCATGCTGGTTCGCGAACTCATTCAAGTTTATCATACTTTATAGGTTCATGCCAAATTTCATTAAAATCAGACCAAAATTACTCGAGTTATCGCGTTCACGGACACATATATATATAAATCTATATATATATATATAAAAATTTGAACGAATAGTGTTTTTGACCTCAGGAGACATCAAAATGAAAAAGTAAATTGGTCCCAGTTCTAGGTCTTACCATGCCACCTACGGTAATAGCGTATTCCCTATAGGGGAAATTCGCTAAAAACCTAAATAATTAGACCTTTATCTTCTATATAATACTATCTACCATGCAATTGTAACTTTTAGTCATATGTATGGGCAATTTTATGGCAAAAAACACTATTTTGAAGAAACAAATCCCATTATCTGTTATACAACTTTTGAACCTTTATTTTATTGTCGCTCTACATTTAGCTTCTTCCAACTTCACCAACACCCAAAATATTCCACTTTAACAACTAAAACATTCTAATTTGTATTTAATTCCTTTCATGTTATCATTGTTTTCATAATATCTATATCTATATACTTATATCGCAGTTAGATGAATTAACTTAAGCCTTGAAAGTAACCGTCGATTTCGACGGGTTTCACCTAGTCTATTTACTTATTTAATACGCAAGCAGGTTTTTTGTGACAATTACTCCTCCGAAACTACTGAACCGATTGACATGTTTTTGGTGTCATTGGAAAGAGCGTAACGTGAAGTTGTGCAGGAAACTTTCTTTTTAGGGAAATAATTAGAGAGTGAGGCCCTGGGGCCCTTTAAAGTTTTGTATTCCTCCATGAGATTAACATGGGAAACAAAAATTGTTATGAAAATCCAGCTGTTGTCAGAAATTAAAAGTGAGAAGAACATATGTCAATTGTAAAATTATGACAGAGAGGCTATGCAGAAAATCAGGTAGTTTATGGTTATTTGTTGCTATTAAAATAAAGACTGAAACTTGCAAACCTACTGGTGACAATGAGTGATAACATGCAGACTACATTATCATTGACAAAGACCAACACGGACAACCTAAGGCGGGTATAAGTGGGAAACATTTCTACAATACACTAAAAGCCAGATCAGCTTTTGGAAATGATAAAATATTTACAAGAAATGTTGATTATATTGAACTGTTAAGTATGTTGTGAGTATTATCATTAATTACGTAATCTTTGAGTTGACTCTTTTAAACTCATCGGAATTTATGACTTATATTTGCAATTGCTCGATTTCGAGCAACATGTACACTAGTACTTATTTAATACGCAAGCAGATCTTTTGTGACAATTACTCCTCCGAAACTACTGAACCGATTGACATGTTTTTGGTGTCATTGGAAAGAGTGTAGCGTGAAGTTGTGCAGGAAACTTTCTTTTTAGGGAAATAATGAGAGAGTGAGGCCCTGGAGCCCTTTAAAGTTTCTTATTTCTCCATAAGATTGACATGGGAAACAAAAATTGTTATGAAACTCCAGCTGTTGTCAGAAATCAAAAGTGAGAAGAAGAGCAGAGGTTAATTGTAAACAGTCAATAAGTTTGCTAATAAAACAGTTTGCTACAAATATTTGCTGACTTGGTTGAATTGAAGTTTGTTTTAAAATAACGCCTGTAATACTTAGCAATTGCTCGAATTCGAGCAACAGGGACACTAGTTTTTATTAAAAAGCTTTAAAAGATCTTCTCAAAAACATATACGACCCTCACCATTTTACCTCACGATTCAAGATAACTTCACTCTCTTCCCACACATTTCTCCAAGACGTGTATTCATGACGTCACTATTAGCACGAATTGGTTATCCTCAGTCTCTTCTGTCGTCAGAGTGACGTCATCTGCCACCACGGTCACCTCGACCAGCTGATCAGTAGCCAGTCTCAAGTCAGCGAGTCAGCTGTTGGCTGACGTGCAGCCGAGCATGTTCGTAGACAGTCAGACAACCAGTTTCGGTTCAGTGTCAGTTTGTCGTGTGCCATTCTAGCCTCTATCGTGTTTTCTGTGGATAGCACGACGATACCCGGTGTAAGTATATGTTAATTAACGTTTTCTTTAGTTTGTGTTTCTATTTTAATTGGAAAATAGTTTAAATAGTTAGAAACGAGTAGTATTAATTTAAAATTTCTCGGAGGATACAATTGCATTTCCTTCTTTTTTGTCACAAAGTTAAATATCTTTAATAACAACGGACAGTTAAAATTGGTTTGAAGTTTGGTCGAAAGTTTTTATTTTATAGTTAGAGCTATACACATAACAATATTGCTAACATGATTGAATAAAAATGTTTTAAGTTTACTTATTTTTCACCATTATCCGTCCATGTAATAGGTAGTATGGTAGTATGATGTATATTTTAAATCAATCGTGAATAATATCGACAGGTAATAATCGTTACTCAAGGTCGCTCTTTGTTCAACTAGCTTGGAATCGCTTGTTTCCAACTGTGATTTAGTCCATTAAAATGTGTAGCTCAATAAATGCTTAATGGGAACAAGAAATCTCCACTGTGTATTGAGTTTGTACTACGATTTTAGTTTGAAAACATGTTACATATTGGAAAAGAACATCGCTTTTACGTAATTAGTTTGTTTTTATTGTAATTTGCCATTAATTACTCAGTAATTCAGTTCAAACCCCGCCTTATGATAGATTTGATCGTCATTTGATTAATCTTATTACATCATTAAATTGTTTGGATAAAGGATATTGTATTCTACCGAAGATAGTTTTCTCAGCCTCCAAAATCGGTTCTGCTTTACACTTCATTGAACAGAATTTTGATTCTGGTTTACAATTCAAATTAAATTATGAAATTAGATTGTCACTTCTATGAACTACTTAAGATCAATTTGACATCTAAACTACTTCGTTCGTCGTATTCTCGTCGTATTCTCTACTAGGTAACTCATGGAATATAATTGAACCCTTCAATTGACTCATCTCCAATCCTTAGTCTGGGTCTTAGCCAGGGGTGATGGCATGAAGGAAGTTAAAATACGAAAACGTGAACAGCATTCCAGAGCCGAAGGTCTTCACGTGCGTTGATGCACGATGAGGTTCCGGTTTTAGGACAGACGACAGTAGTTGTGATGTTAATCCTTCAATTCAGGACAAAAACACAAAATATACATTGTTGTTATAGTCAATAAATAACAAAAAATCATATTTAATTGATTAGTCATTTGTGTGTAACTAGTGTGCGAAATGGCACTTTGCTGCACAGTGCACATGAGATAAATGTTTACGCACGAGCCGCAGACGAGCGTGGAAAGTTTCTCGAGTGCAGCAAAGGCCCTTTGTGCTCGTGTTACACATTATAGTTTTCCTAAAGTTAACAGTCTTTTAAAAACTAAACAACACGTTTTAGGTTTGGTTAAATCCAAGGGTTGAACCAAATGGGAAACACTGCACCAGTTGTTCGTAGCAGACTGTTTTTGTTGTTGTTTTTTTTTTTTTTATTACTGGTTAGGGTGGCAGAAGTAAGTAAATGCAGAAATTACTACTTTGCGTGCTATAATCAGTAAGAAATCCCACTTTGTCAGGTAACTGTAGGAAAAGGTATTTTGAAGCTATGAAAGAAGAACTAATCGATAAATCTATACATTTTTAGAAGTTGTATCCTCTTCAAAGTGTAACAGGCTGAAAAACAGCTTATTAGTCAGTATCTATTTATTTATTTATTTATTATCAATATCAATTTATTGTATCAAAGCTACTCTACGGCTCAACGGCTGATGCCGTTCATATTTTAATTCAAATAATCCTTAGTACACTTTCCATCTCACAACACTAACATAGGGGTTTAAAATAAACAAAATGCCTTGAATAATGAAAACCTGATGATCATTCAATAAAATTTTTGTACTACTATGCCATATGAAAGTACTTTTGGTACGATGTAATCGAATGCGAGATTTTTTAACCGTTACTTTTTTTTTACTAAATCTATAGAAGTGCACTAGATTGAGGTTACTCAAGAAGTTTTTACTCTCGATGCATTTTTATCAGTACGCCATTGGCCTGGTGGCATTGGCCGTACCCAAGGATGTTATCACTTTTATTTATGGTTGCTATTTGTTTCAAGGTAACCGATGACATTTATTACGGGCTGGTTCCCTAGCGTGATGATAGTGATATTTGCAGGAAAAACAGACGTAACCTTGGCGTCTGCGTCTATTGATTGGTTGTTTTTATTATAAAGGAATATTTTAGAAGAAGATTGTGAGTTGGAGCGAGTCGGCAATAACATCGTGTTCCTTATCACCGAAAGTTCAAGATCATCTCGGTCAAAGAGTGGTGACTGGCTGTTAGGCATGTCTAGACTATCAAGGATTGGGGAAATGGCCTTTGGAAAATACAGATGTCAAACATTTTAGTGAATTTCCTATTTAGGGGAGTACGCTATTACCGTAAGTGGCCCGGTAACTCATAGGACAGATTTACTTTATCGTTTTGTAGAAGCAAAAAAACTGTCAAATGGAACAACTGCCATTTTTATTAACCAGATATAGTTTTGCTACCAAGTGTGCTTCTACAGCCTAAAAGTGTATTTTTCTTTTAGTTTCTGTTCAAACATGGATATGATATGACATAAAAAGATTAGATAGTTTTCAGCAAGTTCTTTTATTAGTTAGGATTGGTAAAAATATTAGCTTTTTTGAAACTAGTGTACGTGTTGCTCGAAATTGAGCAATTGTCAAGTATTACAGAAGTTATTTCAAAAATATAAAAACAGTCGTAATTTTCGATTAGTTTAAAAGACTCAACTGATATCTATGACGGGCGTAAGTAATTTAGTCTTACGTTATGTCTAAAGCTAGAACATGGATTTTAAAATTTAAAACATTGTACCCTTTATTGTTTACTGGTTACCTTTTGTTGAATCGTCAAACTGTCAATCTTTTGTAATTTTAATAGTGCAATAAAAACATAATGCGAACTTTCGATATTTTCAATCTTTTACTACGTCTTTGACTTTAAAATACGTTGTCGAATCTGCAAACCAGCATTTTCAGTGCATGAAAATACACTATTTATATATTTAGAATACATTCTATATTGTGGAGCAACAACAATTGGTGGTGAAATTTAAATTACAGAAGATACAAAGCTACTTTAATTATCTGGAAATTAAAATTCACGAGAAATTCACTTGTATTATAATGTTTTTGTTTTTAGTTAACTTCATGACTAGAAGTAATACGAAACATGGTCTAATCTTGGGTTTTTATGTATTTCTAGTTGCTGTTTTAATATGGTAACGATCAAACATTTTATCATTTTGAAATTACTGGCTTGTAAAAGTGACAAATATTACGTTATCACAATTATAATAATTTTTAATAATTATTAATAATTTAAAACTAATGATTTTAAACCCCAACCGCTGAGGATCCGCGTGTTGTTTTGGATGTGTTTTCCTACTTTTAATCAGTGGACTACAACCAGTGACAGATAAACCCTGAGCTATTTAAATATAAAAACCCCATTAAGTTGGTTCGCTTATCCCTTTAGACTGTGCTCGTATCTAATACTAAAAATTCTCTTCATTTATTTATTTCCTAAAAACCCGTACAGTAAAATACGAGATTTTATTGAATAAACCATGTGTATGGATTATAATGTACTGTTTATTAAAGCAGACAAAAAGAAAAAAGATTTAAAAACTCTATATTAAAAATGTTGAAAGTTTACGTGTATATTTTTAGATAAATTATGCAACATAAATATGCTAATATGTGTTACCTATGCCAAGGCCAAGGATATTTTGTTTTGAAGAATCTCGCATTTGATTGGCAATCATCTACAACCACAAATGAGAGTAGGGTATTTTTGCCGGTCCGGCGGGAGTGAGCGGCTTGAGCGGCAGTGAGCGGCTGACGTCACACGACGCCGCCCCCGCCCCCGACGCCGCCCCACCCCCACCCCGACGCCACCCCCGGGCGCCACCCCGACGCCACCCCAGCCCCGACGCCAGCCCCACCCCAAACGCCACCCCTCCCACCCCCCACCCCCGTCGCTAACCCCTACCACCATCGGGCAGGTTCAAGGTCATCCTTTGTTGTCTGGCACCACCCTACGCATCGTGGGAGGTCTCCAAGCCAACCCTACCTAAACCATCACTCACTGTCAGCCGCAGCTGCTCCCCAACACCTGCACTCCAAGCGGCCCCCCGCTCCTCCCTTGTATTCTTTGTTCTCCGCATAGTGCACGCTTATTTACCACCAATAGGATGTTACCTTATTTTGACCAATCAGAGAGCAGTATTTCACATATTTCAAATATTTTAACCGTTTTACCTGCCAGACTGTTTGAACGACCAACATCGTGGGAGGTCTCCAAGCCAACCCTCCCTACACCATCACTCACTGTCAGCCGCAGCTGCTCCCCAACACCTGCGTTCCAAGCGGCCCCCGCTCCTCCCTTGTATTCTTTGTTCTCCGCATAGCGCACACTTATTTACCACCAATAGGATGTTAGCTTATTTTGACCAATCAGAGAACAGTATTTCACATATTTCAAATATTTTAACCGTTTTACCTGCCAGACTGTTTGAACGACCAACATCGTGGGAGGTCTCCAAGCCAACCCTCCCTACACCATCACTCACTGTCAGCCGAAGCTGCTCCCCAACACCTGCGCTCCAAGCAGGCCCCCCGCTCCTCCCTTGTATTCTTTGTTCTCCGCATAGCGCACACTTATTTACCACCAATAGGATGTTAGCTTATTTTGACCAATCAGAGAACAGTATTTCACATATTTCAAATATTTTAACCGTTCTACCTGCCAGACTGTTTGAACGGCCAACCCAACTGAAAAAGTGGTAGGAATAGTGACGTAATAGACGTACACTATGAAAGTAGTGTACATATGACACAAAATTGTAAGAAAAGTGTATTTTTTTCAAGTCCAATAGTTACTGTATTTTATTTTGCGGACTTTGAAGACAGAAGATGCTACTCACATTTAGATAGTATTCGTTTTAAACTGAGAATAGAACAGACTGAAACATTATTACGTAAACC